CCCATTACATAATCGGCCATCTTACTGGGCCTTTGTATCATTTCCGTGTTCCTTAATTGCATGTCTTCTGGTGGTTCAGAATCGAGCAGGCCTTCAGATTCAATTGGGCCGGTTACATAATAATAGTGTATAGCAGAAGACTTGGGGTGTGTCCACACTAATAGTTGAGAAAGTATGAGTTCAGTGTATACGTGACAGGTTTAACTTTTTATTTATGAAAATAATTACCCTTGTAAATGATGAGTCTTATCGCTTATCACTTTTCCCTTATGCTTATACTAGAGGATCATATCTCTTATTTTTTTTAGCTTATCACTTATCTTTATTTCTACAAATTATTAGCTGATAAGATGGGTCAAGAATATTGGGTTCTTTTGTCTATTTATTCTGGTGTTCTCTGCTAATGTGATATTTTAGTGTCTTTGTAACTTGTAAGTGTTTCGCTAATAGGGAGTTACAATTTCTTTCTCTCTTTTTTTCCCCTTGATCTTCTCACTTTCTGTAAAAAAATTATAATTTATCACAAGCATTTTAAATTATGATTGTTTGGTAGACCTCAAAAGATACACTCTGAGTTTTTCGATCTGAGTATTTATATTTGAAAAATATATATATACGGAGCCTTTTTGGGGTAAATGTTATAGGAAAACGTTGTATTAATAACCTTTTATTTTATTTTATTCCTGGCTGCATTTAGATCTTGGAATAGAATAATTGTTTAACTACTGCAACTCAATAATATCGTTGCACAATGCACAGATGAGAAAATACTTCAATACACAAAAAAGTAAAATAATTTCATGCCTTCATTTATTTTTTTAATATTTTATTAGGATTATCATATTCTGAAAGGGATTAGACATATAAAATTAAAAGGACTAGATAATGAAACAATAACACAAGTTTTATAATGATTAAGGTAATTACAAATGATGAAATAGGTGAATTTGTGTGCTAAAAAAGAAAAAGAAATTAACATGTTGATTCGTGTTACGTGCAAGATCTTTAGATGTCTCAATATCAAGGTTATAGGAATCAAATGGTTAAATAAAAAAGGTCACTAAATTTTGTTTTATTTTTTAAGAGATATAGTACTGTTAGTATTTTTATTTTAAAAAAAAAAACACCAAATTGAGGTAAAGCTCAAAAGAGATTATAGAATTTGACACACATACCTATATATACCTCCACCCTTTATCATCGTCGTCGGTATTGATGAATGTTAGAGAACAAACAATGAATGGCAAATATTTGGTTTATGTGAATGAAGTTCGTTTCATCCTTTCATAAATTGCAATTCTTAAAAATCGAACCAACTACTCGGCCAATGTTATTAAAACCGGCCCGGTCAATAATTCGGTCGAGATGCTGGATTATTGAGTCACTAGTTCAATCGCATGACCCGATAATTATATATAAATCGATAATTTATATAAAAAAAATTATAAATATACTCAAATAGCTGAAAAAAATAATAAATTATACATTATTATCTAATAAAGGATCAAACAAACACATAATACTTGTTATATTGGTGTTTCAGGTTCGGTAAATGACATTTCTAACTATCAAATCAAAATTCCTTGCATAGTGCATAACTGAGATAATATTAGAATCAAATCAAAATTTCTTGCATATAGGGGTGTGCAAAAAAACTGGTTCACTTGCCCTGATCCGACCTTGACCTGACCCATAAATATCTATATTTTTTGAACTGGTTTAAATACTGAACCACTTTTATTTGGGTCAGTTTTAGACCTGACTTATTTTAATATTGACTCATTGACCCAAAACTTGACCCATAACCATTATGTGAAAAAAAAAATCACAATTACATTAAAAGAAAAGTTTTCACGTAAAACAATTACGTCAAAATTTTTTACGAAAAATATTTCCATAAATAAATTTCGCAAACATTTTTGACGAAAAATATTTTCATGAAAAATTTGTGACTAAAAATATTTCTGTAAAATTATTTGACGGAATATTTATTTTGTCAATTTGTTTTACGGAATCTAAATTTCGTCAAAATATTTCACAAAAAAATATATTCATCAAAAATTTCGACAAAACACATTTTCATCGAAATTTTTTGACAGAAAAAAATTTCATCCAAATTCTTTACAGGTTTTAAATTTCGACGAAAGTTTTCGACGGAAACATTTTTGTTAAACTTTTTGACAAAATAAATTTCATCGAAATTTTTAGCGAAACACATTTCTATTGAAAATTTTCGCCTAAATATTTTCGTCAAGTTTTTTGATAAAAAATATTTCCATCAAAATTTTCAATGGAACATATTTCTGTAAAAAAATTTCGTAAAAACTTTTGACAAAACATATTTCGATAAAAGATTTTGACGGAAAAAATATTATGTCAAAATTCTTTAGAGAATCTAAATTTCGGTTCAAGTTTCGAACGAAACAGTTCCCTCAAAACAATTTCCATCTAAAATTTCGACGCAACACATTTCTATAAAAAACATTTCGGCGAAACAATTTCCATCTAAAACAGTTCCCTCAAAACAATTTCCATTTCAAATTTCGGCGAAAGTTTTCGACGGTAAAATTTTCGTTAAACTTTTTGACAAAAAAAAAATTTCGTCGAAATTTTTAGCGAAACACATTTCCATCGAAAATTTTCAACTAAATATTTTCGTCAAGTTTTTCGATAAAAAATATTTCTATCAAAATTTTCAACGAAACACATTTCTGAATAAAAAAATTCGTAAATATTTTGATAAAATTTTTTTGACAATATTCTGTCAAAATTTTAGAGAGAATCTAAATTTCGTCGAAAGTTTCAGATAAAATATTTCCCTCGATACAATTTCTGTCGAAATTTTCGTGCGAACACTTTTCCATCGAAATTTTGAATAAAAAACATTCTGTCAAAATCTTTGACAGAATTCTGTTTTCGTTTAAAACATTTAATGGAAGAAATCATTTTCGTCAAAACTTTTGACGGAAACTAAATTTCGATAAAAAATTTATTTTTGTAAAAATTTTCATTAGAGAAAAAATTTCGTCGTTTTTCGATAAAAAGTATTCTGACGAAAAAATAATTTTGTGATGAAATTTTGTCGTTTGCAACGTAGAAATTTAGACGAAATTTTGTGAGGAAACCAAATCAAAAATGGATCAGGTCAGATTTGACCCACTTCAGAAACCAAGTCAGTCGCACTTCAAAAACCAAGTCAGGTCAGATCCGACCCGGTTCTGAACTAGTTCAACAAAATCCAAACCAAGTCAGACCTGACTTGGATCAAATTAAAGCGGGTCGGGTCAAAATACCTGACCTATAAAAACCAAGTTGGGTCGAGTCAGACAAAAATCTGACCCATGCGCAGCCCTACTTGCATAGTGCATAACCGCGATAATATTAGTATCGCAGGTACATAACTTATGTAAGTCAATAAGTATAAGACCACTCAAATATGTCAATTATGATTTTTTTTTGGAAAACTTTTTTTTTTTAAAAATATTTTTTTTTTAAAACCCTGGCCGGGTCACCGATTTTTCATCAAAATCGGCCGGATCTCACCTGGTCGTACCGAGTCTGATACTTGACCGATCCAATATGTTAACCGAACCGGTCAGATGACCCACTGGGTTCCGGGTCAACCCGACCAGTCCAATTTTCACAACATTGCTTAGCATGTGAAATCCTGAAGTCTTATGTGCAACTATTAACATTTTTTTTTCTTTTAGATATTTTCATTGCTTGTGTTGTAGAATTATGGTGTCACAAACAAAGAAATAAATTAGCAAAGAAATAAATTAGCAAATTTTTCCGTTAAATGCAAGCCATATATAGGGGTGTAAATATTAAATAAGTTAGGTTAGGCTATGACTTAAATAGGCTAAGCCTGTATAAAAAATATTGGGTATGACCTAGCTTGTTAGCCTGCATAGGCCCCAAATTACATGTCTGGGGCCTGCCTGTGTCTGTTAGCCTGTTAAACATTCAACAATTAAAAGAATAATTAAAATAATATTACTTTATTATTCAAATTTATTAAAATAATAATTTTGTTTAAAATAAATAATATAATATAAGCCAGCCTGTAGGCTTATAGGCTCGATATTATGACCTATTTTTTAAATAGTTTTTTTTTAAAGTCTGAGCCTATTCTATTTTACTATTTGTTATAGGCTAGGCCTATAGGCCGGTCTAGCCCATTCAGAATATATAATACTTATTTTATTAAATTAAATTTAGAGAAAAACATCTATATATGTAGGCATATGGCCAGCCACGTGGGTGTAAATGGAGATCCTTAACGTTCGCGCTTGATGAATCACTATTATAAAGGTTAATTAACGCCAATAACTATTATAAACCTTTACCTAAAATTCCATGTGATCATCCATTAATTTCAAACATTTAAAAGCGTTGGGCAAGTAATCAGAAAGACATAACGGAAACGGAAACACGAATAAATGAAAAGCAGAAACACCTACATCAACGCCCCAGAGCATAAACGAATTTGACATAAATATGACCAACAAATTTTGCGACACGAGACACAGCATGAAAATCACAAATATAATTACAATTACAAATTTATAAGGTCAAAATGGTAAAAAAGAAAAAGAAAAAGAGAGAGAGAGTCAAAATTGTATTTGAAGATTGACATGTAATACAAAATTTTGTGTGTCGTATATATTTTGCCAACACTAATAGTATCTGCAATCTCTAATAAACTAACACCATGCATATATTAGCTAGGCAACAACACAACATAGCAAGTAACATATATTTCATTTAATGCAAGATATTAACCAATGCTAACCCACTGTAATTTAGATCATCTAAATATACACAAGATATAATATTTAAAATTTCATTTAATAGAAACATCCAAAACTACATAAACTGTAGAATCTAGATTTCAACCCAAATTATATAGGAGCGGCATAGTTATTCCGTAGTCCACTAGAATAAAAACTACGACTAGAAGAAAATCTTAATTTCAAGTTCATCATGAAATAAGCTATCTAGTGGTAAAACTGAGCAGAACAAACCAACTCCATCAAATCCATCTGTTTATTATTTCCTTCTAAACTATATTGATCCTCAAGCAGCAAGTCCATGTTCTGGTTTTGACTCCCATAATCACAGCAAAGTGATGAACTGTCAGTTCCATTCAGCAAGTGAGAGAGACAGAGATCAGAATCAAGGTAATTGATAGGTGCAGGAGTCTTTCTAGGTGTGAGACTCTCACCCAAGTACATGTTATGTGAATTTGGATTTGGGTTGGAATGGGGGAAACCACAGCCAGTCACATTAGTGAGAAGTTGATCACCATTAAGAGATTCAACATTGACAAGTGGAAGGTGGTGATGTTGTTGGGGCTGATTCTCCTTGAAAAATTGTTGCATGAAAAGTAACTCATCATCATATTCAGAAGTTTGTGGTGATAAACAGTTGTCATTATTGGTAACAGAATCAGAGAGTTGAGAAAAAATGAGGCCTGATTGATCAGTTGTTGTAGGGTCCTCAGTGGTTGTTGTGGTTTTGATGATGCTCTTTGTGGGGTTAATGAAGGTGGTACTATTAAGAGTCTTGCTTTTGATGTAATCTTCAAGAATAGAGGATTGTGGATTTCCATTAGAAGTTACTGTCCTTTTGTTCTTTCTCCTTGACTTTTGCCTCCTTTTAGTTGCATTCCAATGGTTCTTTATTGCATTCTCTGTTCTTCCTGGAATAAGCTTTGCCATCTCTGCCCAACGGTTTCCAATCTTAGTATGTGTTTCCACTAATATCTTCTCTTCTTCTTCACTCCAACTATCTTTCTGCAACATGTTAAGCAGAATGAAAATGATAGTTTAAAATAATTCACATTTATATATAAATGACATTATTTTTTTCATACAAATTAAGAATTGTGTAACTATCTTTCTGCAACATGTTAAGCAGTCAAGGAAAAGTGATAGTTTATATATTTTACATCAAATATAATAGACATTGTTTTTTCATATAAAGCACTTATGAGTATCCAAAAGTGGTTTTAAGAGGAAAATTAAATAAGAAATTGTGAGAGGAAGCAATATCTGAATAATAAGATAAGAAATATATGACTAATTAATTAGAAATATGTCAAACAAACATGACCCAGTATTGACCTCCGAAATGAAATATAGATCATTTATAAATCTTGAATACATAGAAAAAGAAATATAGGAAGAATAATGGTCAACCTACATACACGAAAGATCTATAGATCATTAAAAAATCTTGAGTATATATCTATAGGTGTCGGAATAAGAAAATATAGACAGATTGCAAGGTGATCTTAAAAAATCTTTGTTAAGTTCTGATCAATTAATACATGCATATATATCGTTGTTCTAAATTTTGCAGGGAAAATATTTAAATAATTGATAATCAAATAACCCTAGGGCATGGGCATTTTCAAGCTGAGACTTCTAAAAAGTGTATATATATTGAACTTGAACAAAGATTAGCATATATGAACATCAAGGATTAAGCGAGTAATAGACCTTAATATCAGGGCGCAAATGATTATGCCATCTCTCTCTACACTGCTTGCCAGCTCTTGATCCATCCAAATTCTCAGCTATTTGAGACCATTTTCTTAGACCATATTTCTTCACCAACTTTAACAGTTTCCTTTAATTATATAACAAATAAAAAAAAACGCCTTAGAAGTTTAGTGCAAATATACAACAATCAAACTAAAACACATATATATAAAAAATGTACACAAAAGAAAAAAAAAATGTTGTTCTCATTACTCAACCTGTCTTCTTCTTCACTCCATTGTCCTTTGATTAAAGACACAGAAGATCCTTTCTCAGGCCTTCTTCCCACAAGTTTTGCATTATTCCCTAAAACTTGCACATCATTCTGACACAATGTAGGGTTTTGGTGTGTCCAATTCATCAGAGCCTCTTCATTTGGTAAGAGGTGATGAGTTATAAAGCTTGCTTCTTGAGTGTTATGCAAGAGATACTTATAGGTTGAATCACCAGAACAAGCAAAACTGCAAAACTCATGATCAAAAACACTTGCATGGTTTTTCTTTGCAATATTGTTCTGTGGGTGTCGCTTTTGAAGGAAATGGTTTTGTTGGTTCCCTAAGAACTTGTCTATGGCTGTTAAAGGAGGACCTGATCGATACATAAAAGAAGGGTTTGTGACCTTTATGTTTCCCCAACCATGAGTTGAAATAGTGGCATTATCACAGCCACTACCTTCATCTCTTGTGGTTTTCATGGAAGGTTCTTGATGGAGACTAAAATCATAATGGAAAAAACTTGGTTTATGGTGAGGTTTATTTGTGAGGAGAAAATGGTGGATATGTAATATATATAATGAAGCTTATTTTAAGCCATGTAATTGGAAGCCATTATATGCACTAAATCCAAGGGCTAAGAATAAAAAATGTTGAAACTCCTGAACTTCTTTTTGGACAAAATTGAGTGTGGGGAGCAATCCGTGGATGTTAAATGTTAAGCCCCATATTATTTCATTAATGATATGTTTTAATTCGTAATTTACCTTTGAATTTTTATAAATTATGATTTTCAAAGTGTTATTCAATATTTTATGTAACTGATGTTGAAATATTAATAATCATAATGGACTAATAATGGTCATTTTGACATAAATTTGATTTAATACTCCTTTGCAAGTACTCACTAACAAGTATCCCATGCAGGGGTGTTTTCAAAATTTGAATAAATTTTTTTAAAAAATTAAATAAAAAACCTTTAATTTTTTTTTTTAAAATCACAAATAAAGTATGCCAAATTAATTTTATGTTAAATTTTTAAAACATATATATTAAAAGAGAAAAAATATTTACAATTATAAAATACGTATATAAATATGTAATTCAAGGAAATAAATTTGAAATTTGAAAAAATGTCATGTATCATTATTGGGAAAAGTATTTATAATTTTAAATGACATAATTTTGTGTCATTTTAAATAAAACTACGTCGTTTTTGTATTTTATGCATTCTCTCTCTTCCACTTTCTTTTTTCCCTAATTTTTTTAAAAAGAAAATATAAAAAATACTAAAAACACACCAAAATGATTTAGTTTCACTAAAAATGACACAAAGTTGTGTCATTTAAAATAACAAACACTTAATCCTTATTTCCTTATTTCCTTATTGTTAGGGTATAATCCACTTTCAAACAAAATTATTCTAACCAAATGGTGATAACTCAATTGGTTGCCGGGAGCTGAGTAAGTGAAAAAGAAAGGGTCTTAGTTCAATATCCACATGCCACCTTTAGGAGAAATTTAAATATCTTCATCTCTGACTCGCCTCACACACCGAATTAATCTCACAACCGACTTAAAGAGTTGAAACTTGTGAAAATACCGGGAAGAGTCAACTCGCCTCAAAGAGATAATTAGAGTTGAGTTAACTCCAAAAATAAAATAAAATTCTAATATAATATATATAATGAATTTGAACATAGTTAATTTAAGAGTATAAGTAGTGATATTAAGTGAGAAAGAGGAAATTTAATTTGGAAAGAATTGAAAGTAATTAATTTGATAGTATAAAGAGCTGAAATTTAGAAAATAAGAAAACACACTACTAGAAAATGTTTTTTTTTCGACGGAAAAATTCCGACGAAAATGGTTAAAATTCAGTCGAAAATGATGTTTTCGACGGAATTTTCGACGGAAATGAAGCCGTCGAAAATATCTTCGTGGGTAACAATTTTTTCGACAGAATTACAGATTCCGTCGAAAAATTTCGACGAAAATTTCAACGAAATAATTTCTGTGGAAAGTTTCAACGGAAAAATAATTCCGTCGAAAATTTTCGACGGAAAATGAACGAAATTCCGTCAAAAAATATTGACTCAATTTTCGACGGAAAATAAATTCCGTCAAAAATTTTCGACGAAAATTGAAAAAAATTCCATCGAAAAATCTTGTTATGATTTTCGACGGAAAACAAATTCCGTCGAAATTTTTCGACGGAAAATGAATGAAATTCCGTCGAAAAATCTTGTAATGACTTTCGACGGAAAACAAATTCCGTCGAAAAAAATGAATGAAATTCCGTCGAAAAATCTTGTAACGATTTTCGACGGAAAACAAATTCCGTCGAAAAATTAGTCTCAATTTTCGACGAAATTGCTTTTTCATTTGTTTCTCTACAAAATTAATACCATTTTATGTTTCACACCTGATAAACAAATATAGTGAAAGTAACATATCAAAATTATTGGATCTTACTATAATTTATGTGTACAAAAGTCCCTGCCATATACAAATCAAAAGAGACTTATATATATAAATGTCAAAGACATATACATAAACAAAAGTCCCTGTCATATACTAATGCAAAGAGTCGTATATGAATAAATGTCCAAGACATACTAATCAAAAGAGACATACATATACAAAAGTCTCTATCATATACTAATCAAAAGAGTGCTATATATATAAATGTCCAAGACATATGCTAATCAAAAAGGACATACATATACAAAAGTCCCTGTCATATACAAATAAAAACAGTCCTATATCTATAAATGTCTGTAAGAACCTGCACCGTTAATTAAGGTATTTAATTAATTAATTACGAAAAAATAAGAAATGATTCCATAATTGACCCTAATAATTATTTATGAGGCTTAATAATCATAATAAGTGATTAAGAATGCTGAAAGTCGCTTTTCGAAAGAAAAGTGCAGATACCGGTTCTGCTAGTCGGTATAAATGTGTACAGAAAAAGTATCCCGAAAAATTAATGTAAGAGCATGATAATTACTAGAATAATATGTAGGACTTGTAAAACGAGTTTCAAGTCCAAATAATGAGAACTGGTGCTAGAAATCGGTACTGGCTTGGAAAAGCGCGTACCGGAAAGGTGTTCAGAAAAATATAAGAAAAATATGATAAATCTTAGAAAATTATGTAGTTTCATAATCCAAAGTTTGGGATTAAGATGCTAAGTGTAGCAATTAAAGTTAATATTGTGCGCTTAAGTGAGTTTTGGCTATATATATGCATTTTAGCACATAACCCTAGGCACTCAGAATTTGTCTACGTGACTCTTTTGTTGATTCTCTCCAGCCTTCTCTTCTCTCTTGAAAGTCTTGGCCTTTGCTCATGAAAAGGGACCAAGGAGCCATCTTTGTTGTGAGTCTTCTTCTTGAGAGTTGTAAACACTAAGCTTGAGAGCATTGTGAGGGGGTGGTGGAGCTTTTTGAGTTGATGCTTGCTGTTTGTGGGACGTTTTTGGGGCTGTTTGTTCTGAGTTTGGGTTGTGTAGCCTTGTTCTTGGCTTCTTGAGCTTGAAGAAGCCACCTTTTGGCATAAAGGGACAAGCTTGAAGTGTATTTTCGTAGCCTTGTGAAGTCAGAACTGTGGGAGCTTCTAGTGAGCTCCAAGAGCACCTCCCTCTGCTGTTTTTGAGCTGTGGTATGATCACCAACCTTTAACTTGAGTTTTAAGGCTTAAAAATGGTACCTTGATGCACCTAATGACTAAAAGATGATAACTTGTTGTTGGGTAATGTTGAACACGCCTAGAAATGCATGATTAGGTGTTTAAAATCGGTAAAAGGGAACCTTTTTGGGATATCTTCACGAAAATGCAGAAACTGCATTCTGTCGTGAAATATCCGGATATCTGCCCGTGGAATATCCGGATATTGGATATCCGGATATGATATCCGGATATGTGTGTTCGGATATGGGGTTTTGGGATATCTGGATATTGTATATTCGGATATGGGATTCTGGATATCCGGATATTGCATATCCGGATATGTACAGTGAGATATCCGGATATTGAATATCCGGATATGGTCCCAAGGAATATCCGGATATTCTGGGATTTCGCAGAACAGTAGCTGTGTTGTGCAAATAGTAGGCTAGTGGGGGTTTGTAGACCCTAGATTGTTGAAGTTGAACTTCTGTATTTAATGAACTAAGCCAGAATAATGGGATTAAGGGCTTGTGGCTTTGTTAGAAGCTTTAAGACTTGAAAACGTAATGAAAAGGCGTTGTCTTTAATTTGTATGCATGTGGTACATGTTATTGATTTATGTTTGGTTCATATCAGATTGTGATCTGCTGTGATTGGACTTTGAGCTTGTGGCATTGGATAGCTAGCTTAGAGGAAACCTTTCGTGTCCTCGGTTTAGCCATGTTGTGGTTCCACCATGTCCCATGGGGATATGGTATATGCATGCTGTGTTACATGCTTTTGATGTTTTGGAAATGCTGTTGAGCTATTGTATGTTAGTGCCTTGTTGATATGCATGGAGGTGTTCCACCTATACGGTAAGCCTGAGTATGTAGAACATACAATAGGGTGAGGCTGTGGGTGAGGTGCAAGCGGTGTTCCTTGTACTACATGTAGGGAATAGACGTATTCCTACATTTCTCTGGCCAGTAGATAGTGATATACACACATGCCATAGATATCTGTTGCACTACATAGTTTTGGAATGGATAATGATATAAATGCTTTTGAACTTATATTGCACATGTAAGTGAGCTTGGGGTGGAAGATCCTTGAGGACCCCTTGTCTTACTGAGATTTCTAGTTTAGAGATCTCACCCCACGTTTGGGGAATGCTTATTTCAGGATCAGGTAATGTTGAGACCTCAGGCGGCAGGAGGCCGGAGCTGAGTTAGATTGCTGTTATATTATGCTGCCATGATTGGATGCTGGATTTGCATGCTGCTTTTATGCTTATAGTTTCAGTTTATGTTTTGGAGTATTATGATGAGACTGGTTGTTTACTATGTTTATTTGGTGAGCATGGGGAAACTCCATGACACATAGTATTATTATGTCTTGGTTATGTCTTGAGTCTTTTGGAGTTGTAATAATGTACCAGGATATTGTCCGGATTACTTGATGTAATGTCGTGATTTAGATACACACTTTATCTATATATATTGAGGTATTTCAGTAGATGTCTTATTGCAATTTACATACAGGCGATATTTTATGAAATTGATTATGTAATCAAGTTGGTAATTGATAATGACGTCATAATTGAAAAGGAAAAGAATATTCCGCATTTTTAATTAAGCACCGCTTAATACGATGTAATGTTAATATTCCGGGTATACACGGGGTGTTACAATGTCCAAGACATATACTAATGAAAAGGGACATACATATACAAAAGTCCCTGTCATATACTAATCAAAAGTGTCATATATCTATAAATGTGCAAGACATATGCTAATCAAAAGGGACATACATATACAAAAGTCCC